TGCGGTCTCCGGAAGAAGCACCCATTTTGCGAGAGAATGGGCCGCAAAGAGAAAAGGTGGTCTATTGCCGTAATGCGTGCAATGTAAAAATGCAGTTAAATTAGAAAGACAGAAAGAGTAAAAGAGTACAGCAGCAAGAGAGCGGAGAGAGAGAGAAAGTGATGCAAAGTGATGCTAATGGAAAAGAGCATAAGACGGCCTGCCTGGCCATTAATCAGTGATGTGTCAGAATGTTAATGCACGCGCGCACAAGCCAGCGTCGACGTCACTTGACTCGGTTCATTCATCCAATTAACAGTCATCTGTTCTGCCAGGTTGTTTGGGTCAAAGAGAAACCGTTGTATATAAGACGTGCATTATCTGTAATGTTACTTTGTTTCTATGTCTGCTATACTCTGAGTGAATGGCTCTTTGCTGGTAGCATTTATCGGACTAGTGTGGTAAAATAGAGACACACAACTTTTTTGCACACATACTGCTTGGTACGCGACGTATGCCATGTCCAATCCCAGAAAATGTAAATATATGTCAATGAAAGTAATATACATATGGCCACATTTGATAAACAGTATTGTTGCAAGCATTTTCTTTGTTGTTATTTAAATATAACAAAATAAAAGTGCGGAAACTACAAAAAGAGAATGCTCCATGCCAGGATCGAACTGGCGACATCCGCGTGACTTTAGCATAACTTTGACCAAATTATAAGCACGATGCTCTAACCAGCTGAGCTAATGGAGCTTTTTCGCTGCAGTTTTTTTAGTTTATACAGGTCAAGTACGCTTCTTATTTCCATAACGACCTTGCATTTTCTTTGCTTTCAACGACTTTTAAACTCATTCACGTGCCTTTATCTTTATAGAGTCCACAAGAAAATGAAGAGAACCGGCTATGTACATTAGAAATGTTGAACCACGTTCGTAGTACAATGGTGCCAGTGCTGCGTTATATGGCAATTAGTTAATATAGCAGGTGATTGTACAACAATGGAACCTCTGTAGTATTTCAGTATATATTTCTATTTTTATCTCAGTAATTCCTCACGCACAAAGAAACGAACAGTCAATTCCTATTTCTTTTTTTACTAGTATAAATGTGTAGTTTAATTTGTTTCTTATCTCTCTATCTATTATTCATTTTCATATCTTTTTAACTTTTTTACAAATGAACATCAACAAGCTTCCCGATTCGGTACTTTCCAAGGTATTCCACTTGATTTGGAATAATGACGATAGTGTATATTCTAAACACTATATGCTTGACATATGGAAGGCAAAGCTTGCTGTTTCAGCAGTCTGCGTAAAATGGAGAGAGCTGGCACTTCCTTATGTCCATAAGACATCATTTGTCGGCTGTATCTATCCATCGTACCGCAAACGAGGAAACTTTAGCAAAGGGATTTATGATTCTGACATTGAAAGCCCCGAAGAAGTAAGTAGCTCAGAGGAGGGTGAAAACGAAAAGTTGGGAAAATATGCATTAAAGTCTAATCTAGATATTATCAGTAGAAAAATACCTAGCTACAAATACTTGTTGCCCAGGAATATTCAAATCTTTATTGCCACATCTATCAACCCAGTTCACAGCCTTCGCGAGACTGTCAGAAAGATTCGCAAACACAAGGTATTAATGAAGAGCGTCCATAAATTAGAAATAATTATCAGAACATATGGCTTTAATGCGTTGACCCGTAAAGAAGCCAGCATTTCGGAAGCAGAATCTTTGGGCAAGCAGCTTGCTTATCTTATTCCTAATGTTCAGGTTATTGAATGGAAGGAAGACGTGTGTATGCCTGTAGTCAATGGATTTGCCAAAACGCTAATAAAAGATTATGCGCACCAGCTTACAAGGCTCAGTTATCCACAAATTGCCCTTGAATATGTATCCGAATTTTCAGAAAAGCTTAGAATTATCAAGCTATATTGTTATGGCTACTATGGGTATAGCACAGCCTTTATGCCAAATGTCTGTGCGGAAAACCTAACAGTACTGGATTTGGAATCTATTAACAGTGAACTTCAGTGGAGCTCATTTGAAAGCAGTGGCGATTCGGAATGTCTGCACTTTACCAATCTGAGGCGGCTCCAGCTACGGTTCGAGCCTGAAAATAACCAAAGGGACTTTGAAGAGACGTTTGTCTACAAAATAGCAGCACCAAACCTTGATACTATTAGGGTACAGCTCTGCCCATTTAGCCTGCTAGTTTTGACAAGGATTTGTGACTTGGAAACCATAAATAATTTGGTGTTGGAATTGGATAATGCACTCGTTTCCTTTACAAAGCTCGATTTTAGTAAAGCCAGAAACCTTTTTGTCCAGTATGCAAGAGTTGGACTGGAAGAATACAAGGGAGAAAACATATACAACTATATAAACAACATGTTTAACATTAATGGCCTTGCCGAGTATAGCGATGTTAAAATTTGGAGAGAAGAATCCCCACTTGATATTGAGCAGGTAAACTGGAGATATGCTACAGATGTTTCAATATTTGGATTTGTAAATATCGAGAGCCTGGAAAAGCTGGTATACAGATTACCAAACGTGGAATGTATGTACATTGACGAAATAAGGGTCCGTGGTTTAAAGGAAATGAAACTGGTTGAGCCCATTCAATCAAACATGCAATATCTCAAGTTCTCTAACGGATATGGATACTCAAAAACGGAGCTACACGAACTAAAGATATATTTGGACAAGGCATTCCCAAGTAGCCAGATAGATATAGTGTAAGGCAAGTACGGCGGAATTAGATGATCAAGATCATTATATATCGAGCATATTACTTGTCTATGGACAAGTAATATAGCGAGAGACTTGTGTGATCCAACATGGATCCACACTTCTCTCTTTTTATATCTACCTGCCCAAACCACTGAACCCTTTTCTCTCAAAAACTCACAAAAAAATTACAAAACTACAAAAGCACAAAAACACTATTTTTATCCTTTTCTGATTTTCTTTCTATTAGTTTTTCTTCTCTCTTTTAGCACTCTCATAGTTTTTTCCTCCCCCTTTTATTTGTTAGCAGCCGTAGTTGCCTTGCAAACGGCATAAAATAAAGGACGACGTCTAAACGCATATAACCTCTTATAATGCACAGTATGTTTCTTTTGGTTTCATTATATTTTCCGGTCTGTCCTTCTCAATGCAAAACCCAATGCCAGTTAACTTGCAGGATCCAGCTTACAGAATGTGGAAGGACTAGAGGGCATTCATGTAGCCTTGTTAAGGGGCGTAAAAGATGGATTGAGAATGTCGCTAACAGCTCGGTAGTGGCTTGGAGACGGCCTTTGATTTTTCCACAGTCGATTCAGCAGCAAGAGGAGAGGACAAGAGAAGAAGGGTTTGCAGTTTTATCCTATATTCGAGAGATCGAGAAGATGCTGGTTGAAATGGTAGCTACATGGAAGATGGGAGACAAAGGCTATGTGCGAGCCAAGGCGTCAATAAGGATGTCGTTTTCAAGGCGCAACCGACGCATCTTGGATTTGTTGCGAAGGAGACGTTCCTTGCGCGCAGAGACCTGGTCGCGAATGTAGGCAAGCTGGGCCTCAAGCATAGCGGCTTGACGCTCTGATTCGGGGGCGTCATGAGAAGAGATCGCACGCACAGCGCTGAGTGAGTGGTGGTTGCTTGCTGCAGAGTCGTCGCTGAACTCGTCATCGTCGTCGGAATGGTCAGAGACAGAGTTTGGCGAAGGCTGGCGCTGCTGGAGTTGGCGACTGCGGCGGCGGCGGCGGCGCTTGCGAGCGGGATTTGGGGGCGCTTGCATGGCGGCGGAGTTTGAGAGCGCCAAAGGAGCATCCTCGATTGACGAGGCGTCCGAGGCATCATCGGCCTGCGTTTCGCGAAGGCGCGAAGGAGTCGAGGCGGCTGGCTGTGTGGTGTGGGTGGAGATGTGTCTAGCGAGAAAGTCGGAGCGCTTGTATACCTTGCTGCAGCCGTCAGCAGGACACAGATAGGAGCGGTTTCCGGTGTGAGTTTTCATGTGAGATATCAGGGCCGAGCGAGACGGCTGGGCTCGGCCACGCGAGGTGCAGGAGGACCATTCGCACGAATTCGCGGAATCGGGCGAACGGTCGTGGTCAATGTGGGCGGAGAGGAGATGGGCGGCCAGCTGATGCAAAGAACTGAATTCGGCGGAGCACGAGTCCCAGGCACACGCAGCACGCGCACCAGGAGCGGGAGCAGGAGCAGGAGCGGGAGAAGAAGCAGGAGAGTCGGGAGGCATTCTAGAGTATAAAGGAGTCGGACAATTATAAACAGACAAAGAAGGTAAATAAAGGCGCTTGGGGATGGATTTATCGCAGCGGCTGGCAAGGGGAGAGAAGAAGACATGCACAACACACGCATTGTTGATGCCTGTTTTTAGAGTCCTTTGCCCAAAGCGGGCGGCTGCAGCCTGGCCTGGCTGCAATTAAACCAAAAGCGGCAGCAACCAGCGGCGGGAGGCTTCGGCAACAATGGAAGCGCTTTAGCCGGACGACAGCAACAATGGCGCGGGAGGGTGGCTTTGAAGCGGGCAGACCAGGCAGAGCCAATCGTCCCAGCTGTGGGCACCAAGCGCAAGCAGAAGCGGTAGCAGAATCAAAGAAAAAAAAGAAAAGAGGCAGCTTGCGGGAGGGCAAAGCCTTTTTTAGTCTTTGGCTGCATTGCGCACGCAGCATGCGCGGCAGGCACATCGGGTTATGGCAATCCAGGAGCAAGAGCAAAGCTGGCGGCCGTGCTGAGCGGTTGGCGGCAAGACAACAAGGCGGCAGGCAGGGCGGCAGACACCTTTGCCTTATATAACGCCAGGCACGCCCAGCGGGACGGCGGGACCCCTCTTCACCACTCCGCCTTTTTTTTCTTTCTCATCACGCATCTGGCTCGACGCCTTTCTACGGATTATTATGCCCTTGTAAACCGCTACGCCTACGAATCACGCTCAAAGCCGCGCCCAACTAACCAAAGCACACGACCTCCTCCACGCTTTCCAGCACACGCCCTGCAATGGACATTAGAGAGATAACCGACGCTTCGCTGCTCAGCGACAAGCACCGCTCACACCACTGCTCGTGGGCCGAATGCCGCAAGAGCTTCACACGCAAGTCGGATCTCAAGCGCCACTACCGGATCCACACCAACGAAAAGCCCTACGCCTGCTCGCATCCAGCCTGCGCCAAGCGCTTTGTGCAAAAGTCGGCACTGACTGTGCACTTGCGCACGCACTCGGGCGAGAAGCCGCACTGCTGCAAAGAGCCAAACTGCGGCAAGCGCTTCAGCGACTCATCTTCGCTTGCACGCCATCGCCACACGCACAGCGGCAAGCGCACGTATCTGTGCTCATTCGGTGGATGCAACAAGCAGTTCTACACGAAGAGCGCCTACAACAGCCACCACCGCGGCCACATGGCCTCGTTGCGCGCGCCGGTCGTGCCGCCAACTCCGCTGATGCTGCTGCCGCCGCGTCGCGCTGTTAGATCCTCCTCTGTATCGTCAGCTGAATCGTCAGCTCCGCCAACGCCGCCGATGACAATGGCAAGCGGCGCCAGTAGCCCTGCCATCCAGTCGCCTTCTCCGCCGCTGCGCCCAGAAACGCTGCCTCCGCTGCACGAGTATCTTGGTGTTCTATCCAAGGCGGCGTCGGCGCGCCTGCCACTGCCAACCGCCTCACATCGCCTCCCGCCGCTGTTTGCGCCGCTGACAGCGCTACATCCGCATCCACACGACCGCAGCGCTCTGCACACCTCTGCCGT